TGACCATTGTTTAAAGAAGTATTTCAGATAAAACATTACTTACTCTGAAATATTCTCTAAGAATATTTATTTATTTAAAACTCAGCAAGTCCTCATGTATGTTTCATAGAAATTGCATAGAAATGATATGGACTTCTTATATAGAAAATCAAAGCATGATTTTTTAAAAAGAGATACTTTTAAATCATTTTTAATCAAAATTGTCTTAATCAAAATTTTAAACCTTTGAATGAACACATTCAAAAATGTTGTTTGGAAAATGAAAAGACAAGCCACACACACATTAACAGTAAATTTTTACAGAAAACCTATCAGAAAGAAAACTGGAATACAGAATAAATTTTAAAATTTGAGACAATGCAGTAATAGTAAGACAAGAAATTCCCCCTCAAAATTTTTGGCCAAATATTTGACCAAAGCCATCACCAAAAAAGATACACAGATGACAGTTAAACACAAAAAGAAATTCCTGACAACACTGATCATCAGAGGAGTAAAGATTAATGTCACAACTAGATACTACAACATGCCTATTAGAACGGCTGAATTTTGACTGTGCTCGGTGACTCACGCTTGTAATCCCAGCACTTTGGGAGGCCGAGGTGGATGGATCACCTGAGGTTGGGAGTTCGAGAACAGCCTGACCCACATGGAGAAACCCCATCTCTACTAAAAATACAAAATTAGCCAGGCATGGTGGCACATGCCTGTAATCCCAGCTACTCAGGAGGCTAAGGTGGGAGAATCACTTCAACCTGGGAGGTGGAGGTTGCAGTGAGCCGAGATCATGCCATTGCACTCCAGCCTGGGCAACAAGAGCAGAACTCCAGCTCAAAAAAAAAAAAATAATGTCTAAATTTTTTAAATGACAATATCAAATACTGTTGAAGAAGGAGAAGAACTAAATTTATCTTACATTGCTAATGAAAATGCAAAAGGTACAATGACTCTTTAAAACAGTTTGAAAGGTTTGTATAAAGTTAAACATCCACTTACCATACAACCCAGCAATCTCACTCTACCCAAGAGAAATGAAAACATACCACATAAAATCTTGTGTATGAATATTTATAAAATGATTTTTTTTGAAATTGTCAAAAACTGGAAACAGTCTGGATGCTCATCAACAAGTAAGTGGATAAACAATTTGTGTACATCTTTACAAAGTAATACTGGTTAGCAAAAAAAAGAAATAAGCCACTGATACATGCAACAACATGGATGAGAATCTTTTACATATTATGCTAAGTGAAAACAACCAGACTCAAAGTGCTGTATACTAAATGGTTCCATTTTATGTGACCGTCTCAAAAAGGCAAAACTACCAGAAGAGAACACAGACTGGTAGTTGTCAGTGGGGCTACAATGAGGTGTGCAGGAATTCTTTGCAGTTATGGAGATGGTTTATATCTTGATTGTGGTGATGACTCTGCATTTGTCAAAATGAACAGGATGTGACTAAAAAAGAAAAAAGAAATAATATGGGCTTACAAAAGAGAAACACCAGATCCATTGTATCATTGTAAGTATTACACTCTAAGGATAAGACACTTAAAATGTAGGAGAAATACCAGAAAATTAGCACATTGATTTTAGTTTCATTATTAATTCCTTTTTCAAGTAACATTTTCACTCCTCTCCACAATCTCCTTTTATGTAATAATTTACACTTATTTATTCAGTAATTAGTAAAGAAGAAAAGAAAATCAGCTTTCTGTAATAAGACTCAAAATTACCTATACTCACTTGAGAAGTACTCATTTGGTTATCTCCTACTGAATGTATCTATTACTCTATTCTCATGTCCTTTTTCTAGCAGACGAAATAATTTATTATTAGGAAAATTAAATGAGACAATGTTTATAAAATACCTGGCACATACCTCATATTCGGTTTAAGTGTTGTAAATATAAATAACAGTTAATTTGCTTGTCTTTATCTCTCAGTGTTGATCTTGTTTTGAAAATATGAGAAGAGTGAATTTTACTAAGTTGCCGAATTTGCTTTATTCTTTGTGAATCTTAGCAGATGAATTTTAGTTATCTTTTTTAAATGCACCCATCATGTGAATTATTGAATAATACTTCTCAGCTAGTCCCTGTGTCTGCACATAGAATGAAATAAATGCATGTCAGAACACATGAACTATATACCTAGATGATAGGTTAATAATTTTTTAGGCATTTTAGGTTGATAATTTATATAACATAATGTTATAGTATAAATATTCAGCTCAAGTTGCTTTTGATGAAGAAAAATTTTTGTGGAAATAGTTTAAATGTGATTATATCAAAGCCTGGCTATTCAGCAGAATCACATGTGGACCATTTTAAAAAATACCGATTTTGGCTGGGTGCAATGGCTCACACCTGTAATTCCAACATTTTGGGAAGCCAAGGTGGGTGGATCACCTGAAGTAAGCAATGCAAGACCAGCCTGGCCAATGTGGCAAAACCCCCGTCTCTACTAAAAATACAAAAGTCAGCCGGGTATGGTGGCAGGCGCCTGTAGTCCCAGCTACTCAGGAGGCTGAGGCAGGAGAATTGCATAAACCTGAGAGGCAGAGGTTGCAGTGAGTCAAGATTGCACCCTGCACTATAGCCTGGGCAACAGAGCAAGACTCTATCTCAAAAAAATAAATAAATTTAAAAAAATAATAACTTGCTGGGCGCAGTGGCTCACACCTCTAATCCCAGCACTTTGGGAGGCCGAGGCAGGTGGATCATGAGGTCAAGAGATCGAGACCATCCTGGTCAACATGGTGAAACCCCATCTCTACTAAAAATACAAAAATTAGCTGGGCATGGTGGCGCATGCCTGTAATCCCAGGTACTCAGGAGGCTGAGGCAGGAGAATTGCCTGAACCCAGGAGGCAGAGGTTGCGGTGAGCCGAGATTACGCCATTGCACTCCAGCCTGGGTAACAAGAGCGAAACTCCATCTCAAAAATAATAATAATAATAATAATAACTTTAAAAATACCAATTTCTTTTCATACCACTACCTTTCTAAGAGAAGCAGCTAAACAGTGATGTCCTGGTATATGTTCAACAAACCAGCTCTTGGGTGGGAGTGGGGATGGGGTATGGATTTGTAGTGTTTGCTGATTTCCATGGTGTAAATATTTCCACCATAGCCAATTTCAAACTAATAAGATGATAACACTAAATGTGGAGTTAGGAAAAGATGTACAGTAGCACAGCATTATACAGTATTTCCATGATACAGGTACAGTAAATATATATTACCTTGAGAGATTAAATAATAGCAAAAATTAATAAAATAATTAAAAAGTAATGATTTTTGAGTATATGTTACCTTTTTTTTAATGTAACTATTTATAAAGTTATGTAAGTTAATTTTTAATAAAGACTACATTTGATAACCAGCTTCCAGAGTTTCTGAAAATTTAGCAATTGGCTCTCATGAGCTGATGAGAACTGATGTTCACAGAACCCTGAAACTCCGAGGTATCTATTTCTTTTAACTAGTTGGTTGCAAGTCATTTGCCAGCCAGTTGTTTTTCTAAAATACAGATCTGATCCTAAATCCCATGGAGGCATTCCACAGTCAGACCCAGATGAATCTTTTTCACCCTTGTTTTAAATCATACCTTTCTCTTACATCCTCTGTATGTCATCTACATTCAGTATAGATTACTTGTAACTTCTCAGACACACCTTGTACTTTCCCCTGCCTTCTTCTTATCTGCCTTCTCAATACCTTCCTTCAGCCTTGAATGGCCTTACCTTATTTGCCTGACTTTTGCAATACTATTTATTTATCCTTCTAGAAATAACTCAAATGCTGCTTCCTTTTACTTCCTATGAAGTAAAAGGAAGTAAAATGTGAATGTTTCCAACATTCACATTTGCCTTGGTGCTCTCATAGCCCATTGTTTATACTTCATTTTGAGTTCAAATTTATCAATAACGAATGTCTGTTTCACGCTGTAGATTATAAATTTATAAAGGGTGCCTTTAAATCATACTGTACTTAACATATTAATATAATCTAAAAGTGGTTGCTTATTTTAACAGAAAAAATATGAACAATGCATGATATATGCTTTGCTTTCTATTCCTTTAAGAAATTGACTGAAATGTAAACTTCTTTGAATTAGATGTTGTACGCCTTTTTTTCCTGGTGATGCAGAACCATATTAGTAGCTTTATACCTATATCACACCTAGAGGTGTTCCACAGTGACTCTGGAGCTTACCAAAGAAGAATTTCATTAGATAGTGTATGAAGCAAAAATGATCAAATTGTATAACTATATTTGCAAATCATTATTCTCATTTAGTGTGCCTTATAGTATTTTCAGCATAAAGCCAAAAGTTATAGTATTTCCTGCAAATGAGGCCTTTGTATCAATAAATACCCTCTAAGAAGAGCTAAAATATCTTACTTTGCTTTGTGACTTGAGAGAAATTGGCTTTTATACATATCCTTAAGGATAAAATTCTTATCTGTTGTTTTCGGGCATTTTGTCTAGACTTAGAATTATCTGGTTGCCATCACAGTAAGTATTGACAGGATCTAAGTGTATTGTATAAAGGAAATGTTAAAGTAAAAACAATCCAAGAATTTCTTGAAGCAAATGCAGCACATTCCTTGTTAGTAGTGTTTCAGGAATTTTTAAAATATTTTATTCTAGGCTGCCACCTGATGGCAAAAGTTAAAATTACATATTTTGTAACATTCAACGCCTTCATTGCAATTACCTAGATTTTTTTTTTAATGTATTCAGCATAGAGCCTCCAAAACTTCTATACATTTGTACAAGTGTTATGTATTCAATAAATGGTTGATGATTGCTTTGGAACTCAGGGAAATCATATTTATTATTTAATCTTTGTTAGACAGTGATCTTCCTACAATTTGTTTAAAGCTTTGCTTTGTTGTGGAGCTGTTTTAAGAATCTGTGTTTTAATTAGTGTTATTTAATGAAGAATTTTACTTAAATATAGTAATGTTTTCTTTTCCCTTCTTTCTTCAGAACGAGGTCACTCGGACACCATGGTGTTCTTTTACCTGTGGATTATCTTTTATATCATTAGTTCCTGCTATACTCTCATCTGGGATCTCAAGATGGACTGGGGTCTCTTTGATAAGAATGCTGGAGAAAACACTTTCCTTCGGGAAGAGATTGTATACCCCCAAAAAGTATGTATAAAGAGTGTCTGTGTTTGTTTTAAAAAACAGCCAGGCGCAGTGGCTCACACCTGTAATCCCAGCACTTTGGGAGGCTGAGACGGGAAGATCACCTGAGGTCAGGAGTTCAAGACCACCCTGACCAACATGGAGAAACCCCATCTCTACTAAAAATACAAAATTAGCCAGGTGTGGTGGCGCACGCCTGTTATCCCAGCTCCTCGGGAGGCTGAGGCAGGACAATCGCTTGAACCCAGAAGGTGGAGGTTGCGATGAACCAAGATCATGCCATTGCACTCCATCCTGAACAAGAGCAAAACTCCATCTCAAAAAACAAGCAAACAAACTTAGGTATACCACTAGCTAACCCTGTTGGAGTACAGACCCGAGCTGTTTACTACATGCTAGGTACTATAGGAAATAAAAACAAAGTAAATTTCTCACTCTCAAGGAAAGCCATAAGCTATGTTCAGATGAGTAAACAAATTGCAATACCATATGATAAAGACTAGAATAGAAGAATAAATAACTTGCTATAGTTTATGATGTTTTTGAACATGGAATGCCCTCAGTCTGAAACACTAACCTTTTGTCTGCTTTGTAAACACTTGTTCTTCTTTCTTAAAAGTCAGTTTGAGTGTTACTTTCCTCCAAGAAGCCTTTCTTTTTGCTAGCATAGTTAGCTATTCATCTAAATCTTTTTTTACCCTATATAAACTACCCTTATACCAGTTATCACATTGTGTTATAATAATGTGTTTAGGTGTCTATATTCTTCACTGCCCAGCATAGTTCCTGATATATAGTAGACTTAATGTTTCTGAAATGAATGAATAAATACTTGACTAAATGAAAAGTGTTATGAAAACACAAAGGAGAGGGAGTGCCTGACTCTGCTTGATTGCATCAAGAAGACTTCTTTCATTTATTTCATCTACTATTTGTTAAAATCAAGTGCCATTTCAATCAGAAAATATAGACTATTTTTTAGGAATAATTCTTTAGGACTTATCTTAGAATTTTATGTATGTATCAATAAAAAGACAAGAGGAGCTGAATTAAAAAGTCAAAAAATGTATTTACTCAGATATTTTAGTAAAGGATGAATACTGTGATTAGACCTTGAAAGAAATTAAAACAATGAACTGGTAATCCTGAATGTGAATTATAACCCCAGCTCTTTCACTAACTAGCTATATAATTTTCTACAACCAGGCATGGTGGCTTACACCTGTAGTCCCAGCACTTTGGGAAGCCAGGACAGGAGAACTGCTTGAGTTCCAGACCAGTCTAGACATCATGGTGTGAGACCCTGTCTCTACTAAAAATACAAAAAAAAAAAAAATTAGCTGGGTGTGGTGGCACACGCCTGTAGCCCCGGTTACTTGGGATGCTGAGACAGGAGGATCTCTTGAGCCCAGAAGTTCAAGGCTGCAGTGAGCTATGTTCATGCCACTGTACTCCAGCCTGGGCAATGGAGCAAGACCCTGTCTTAAAAAAAAAAAAAAGTCAAATATTTTGTTTGCTTTGTAAACACCTGTTCATCTAGCTTTAAAAGTGTGGAATCCAGTGGAGCTTCATTAAAATTTAGAACGCAGGAATGTGAACCTTCAACTCAGTTCTTAGGGATTAACAGTTCTTAAAATCAGTTCTTAGGAATGCCTAGCATTAAGCATCACATCCCAGGTGCAGGAACAATTTTTGTTCATTATATTCAAACTTTTCTGTGTATCTTGATCTCAGCATAAGTGTATTCCTCCCAGAAGACTTCCACATTTTTGGTGACATCAGCTCCCATTTTGGTCAATGGTGAATAGCTTAAGACTGACTCTGAAAGGCGTATGAAATTGCAGTTCTCCAGTTAAGCCTAATAATAAAGAAAGTGAATGTGGATTTACCCAAAAATTGTATTATCACTGTATTAGGAGGATGGGAGAGGGAACAGTGAGCCATGTGAATGTGTTAAAATCCTCATACTCCCATTAAATTTATCATAATCAGCAATCAGTGAATAATGTCTAAAATTGAGTAATCAATATATAACACTATACACATATTATTTTAACTTATGGAGGATAAGTAGGAGAAATAGCTACAAATTTTGAAAATGTCTGGTCTCTAGAGATGGAAAGAGAAGTTGGCCAAGGGACTCTTTTTTATTTTTGTTTTTGTTTTTAAATAATAGCATTTCACAATGACTGGTATTACTTTGTTTAAAAAAATTTAAGTAAAATAAGTATTATGGCTTAATACATAGTAGTTCCCCTTCCCAAAAGATTTCACATTCTTTAAATACATGTATTTTAAGAGCTAATTTCCTTGAGATTAATAATGAGCAAATCTATGAATTATATAGTTCTGGTCTATTGGCAATTTGTGTACTTAAGACTTTTGTGTAGCAAAAACTAGACTGGCCTCCTAAATCCTGGGTGCTGATACCTGCAGTTTTAACCTGAGCACCACCTTCCCCGTGTAAAAATAGAACATTTCTTAAATTCAACCATGGTTGTGAAATCCAAGCTTAATTTCATTTACATTAAAAAGCAAGGCAAAACTTTCTTCAAATACAGGATAAGGCAACTGGAAAATAAAATACAAATAACACAGTGAGTAATCTGCTAATCTTTTCTGATATTAGCTATTAAGTCTGCTGTACCTGTTAGAATGTAACCTCAATTGATCAAGAATCTTATCCAGCTTATATTTCTAGGCCCTAGAAGGAAGCCTGGTATACAGTATGGCAGAGAAATATATTTGTTGATGATGACTGAAATTCAGTAATACTTCATTTCGGATACTATACTATTTAAGGAAAAACTACATTGGTAGAAATAGTTCTAAAATATAACTTTCCTCTTGAACCTGTGCTGATTGGTAGGACATGTGTGAGTCTTGTTGCTCATTGGTATGCCTATTTATGAAAAATGCGATGGGAAACATACTCAATTTTTTCATTATTTCTCAGGCCTATTACTACTGTGCCATAATAGAGGATGTGATTCTGCGCTTTGCTTGGACTATCCAAATCTCGATTACCTCTACAACTTTGTTGCCTCATTCTGGGGACATCATTGCTACTGTTTTTGCCCCTCTTGAGGTTTTCCGGTAAGCAAACTACTGAAAAGTTTATTAAGGATTGTTTTTCAACTAAAAGACACCCAATACTTACAAATTAGAATTTATTATAACTTATACTTGAAAACCTTAAGTTTTCCAACCATTCTCAAGTTTCTCATGAGCTTTAGAATTGGAAAACCCCCTTGAAGGACTTAGAGGTTAATTCTCACAGAGTTAAAATAACCATTGATGATGACTTAAAAGCTTTTATAGAACTAGGTTCCATTGAAAGGATAAGTGGAAATTGGGAGGTAAATGGCTTCGAACAGAAATTGAAATCTTTGGAGAATCATTTTTTGCAATTTGTCAGTCTGAGTTATTCAGCCCAACCTTCTCATTGAAAACAATAAAAATGCTAGATAAAATGTGTTTAAATCTGGCCAGGCAAGGTGGCACACGCCTGAAATCCCAGCACTTTGGGAGGCTGAGGTGGGTGGATCACTTGAAGTCAGGACTTCAAGACCAGCCTGGCCAACATAGTGAAACCCCGTCTCTACTAAAAATACAAAATTAGCTCGGTGTGGTGATGCATGCCTATAATCCCAGCTACTTGGGAGGCTAAGGTAGGAGAATTGCTTGAACTCAGGCAGTAGAGGTTGCAGTGAGCCGAGATCACACCATTGCACTCCAGCCTAAGCAACAAGAGCAAAACTCCATCTCAAAAAAAAAAAAAAAAAAAAAAAAAAAATTAGCCAAGCGTGGTGGCACATGCCTGTAGTCCCAGCTACTGAGGAGGCTGAGGTGGGAGAATCGCTCGAATCCGGGAGGAAGAGGTTGCAGTGAGCCAAACTGAGACACTGCACTGCAACCTAAGCAACAGAGGGAGACCATGTCTCAAAAACAAAAGCAAAAACAAAAACCTGTTTAGCTTATATTGACAGAATAAAGGGGAGAAAAAGAGCAATATATGTAGAAATGTCATTGACAAAAGTCAATCCTGTTGATGAAAAAAAAGTTTTCTACAAAAACACAATCAAGATTATATTTAACAGTGAAACACTATAAACTTTCCCTTGAGTTCAGGAATGAGAGAAGTGTGTGTGCTGTTCCCACTTTTATTTAATATCATCAAAGTATAGCTAGTGCAATGAGGAAAAAGAAATATCAGAATTGAAAAGGAAAATATAAAACTATAATTATTCACTGATGACAATTATATAAACAGAAAATTCTTAAGAATTTACAAATAAATTATTAGATCAAATGTCACAGTGTGACTGTAAGATCAACATAATATAAATAAATCATTTTTAAAAACAGTTATGACTGGGCAAAGTGGATCACGCCTGTAATCCCAGCACTTTGGGAGGCCAAGGCGGGTGGATCACCTGAGGTTGGGAGTTCGAGACCAGCCTGACCAACATGGAGAAACCCTGTCTCTACTAAAAATATAAAAATTAGCTGGGCATGGTGGCACATGCCTGCTGTAATCCCTCTACTTGGAGGCTGAGGCAGGAGAATTGCTTGAACCCAGGAAGCAGAGGTTGTGGTGAGCCGAAATTGTGCCATTGCACTCCAGCCTGGGCAACAAGAGTGAAAATCCATCTCAAAAAACAAAACAAACCCAGTCGCAACAACTAGAAAAAGAACATTTAAAAAACCATATCATTGTGAATAGCATCCAAATATATCAGATACAAACCTAGGAATAAATCTAATTAAATTAAAGCTGTGTAGGTGTGGGAAAATCGACAAGCCAGTTCTGTAATTTATATGGAAATACAAAAGGTCAAGAATGGCCAAGACTATCCTGAAAAGAACAGTTAAAAGACTTAACACTCTCAGATATCAAGACTGATGATGCAGTTACAGTGAGTAAGACAGTGTGTGGTATTAGTGAAAGGATAGACAAATAGTTCACTGGAACAGAATAGGGAGTACAGAAACAAATAGGTACATACCTTGATACTTCCTGATTTATGACAAAGGTGGCTACATAACAGTGGAAAAAGAGGGCCTTTAATAAATGATATTGAGTCAACTGAATATCCATATGGAAAAAAATAGTTCCCAGCTCCTACTGTATACTGTGTGCAAAATCAATTCCAGGTGGATTGTAGAAATAAGTATGAAAAGTAAGTCAATGACCTCTCTGTTATAGGAAAGAACCCTAAAGGTGGTCTTCAGTGTATGGTAATGTATTTCATATTTCTGGGTGGTAATTACACAGTGGGTTCCTTTATGATAATTAAGCCACACACTTATGATTTGCATACTTTATATATGTGTGTTATACTTCTATTGAAATGCTTATCTTTTAAAAAAAAAGTCAAATTAGCAAAAGAAAAAGAGGGACTAACTTCAGAAAAGTGGCAGACTGACAGCTGACTTCTCAGCAACAGTGAAAGAATCATTAAAATGAAATCTTCAGTGTGCTGAAAGAAAATGCTTACCTAGACTCTGCCTAGTGAAGATATCTTTCACAAATAAGATGATATAAAGACATTTTCAGATAGGTGTATAACATTCCTCTGAGTTAGGATGGGCAAACACTGCCTGGTAATAAGATAGAAGCTGGAAAAGGAAAGATAAACGTGAGAGAGAAAGAATGACTCTGGAATCCACCTGCTGTCAGAACTCTCTCCAGACCGGTGTTCCTTCCCTTCTTCGTCTTCCTGAATGCCTAGGCCTGGCACCTGAACTCTCCAATGCTGCCACCATCTTCCCCTACCCACTTCTTTCTCTTTCATGTGTGCTGCTTCATCACATTTTTAAAAGAAATTCCAGGCCAGGTGCAGTGGCTGACACCTGTAATCCCAGCACCCTGGGAGGCCGAGGTGGGTGGATCACCTGAGGTTAGGAGTTCAAGACCAGCCTGGCCAACATGGCAAAACCCGATCTCTACTAAAAGTACAAAAATTAGCTGGGCATGGTGGCACACATCTGTAATCCCAGCTACTCAAGAGACTGAGGCAGGAGAATTGCTCCAACCCAGGAGGCAGAGGTTGCAGTAAGACAAGATTGCATCACTTCAATCCAGCCTGGGTGACAGAGTGAGGCTCCATCTCAAAAAAAGAAAAAGAAATTCTAGTTTAAAAAAAAAAACCTTGTGACTATTTTGTGTCTTTTTAAAAAATCATTTGCTTACTAATTAAATCAAATGTTCTATCACCATTTAAAAAATAATCGTCTTTAGATCTGCTTTCTCTCTCCAACTTGCCCATCTTTCTGCTGTCCTCTGTAGCAAAACTCTGCAAGAGATGTCTGCACTTGCTGTCTCTGCTCTCACTTCTCTACCATTCTCTTTTTCATTCAATTCAAGGATGTATTCCCAATACTCAAACCACTTTTGTTAATAATCTATAATAATAATAATATTGTAGTGCCTACTATGTACCTGATAACATTCTAAGCCTTTTACCTTTATTAAATCCTCACAACAATCTTAAGAGGTGGAGACTGTTAGCATGCCTTTTACTGATGACACTCAAGCATAGGTTAAGTCACTCATCCAAAGTCATTACAGTGAGCAAGTGGTATAGCCATGATTTGAATCTAGACAGTCTCCCAAGCATCCCTTCTTTTAGATCATACTGCCTATTTTGCTAAATCCCCTGGTCAGTTTTTCATACTTATCTTACTTTACTTCCCAGCAAAGCACTTTCTTTACTTGACTTCTCAGAAACTACATTCTCCTGTCTCACTGCTATTCCTTATCCACTCCTTTACTGGTTCTTCCTCCTCCTCTCAAACTTTTAAGTGTTAGTGTTCCAGGATTTAATCTTCTGCCCTCTTCTCTCCTCTAGTTGTATTATTCCTAAACCTATTATTTGAAATGCTGTCTTTTTTTTTTTTTTTTACTTTTTTTAATTGCATTTTAGGTTTTGGGGTACATGTGAAGAACATGCAAGATTGTTGCATAGGTACACATGTGGCAGTGTGATTTGCTGCCTTCCTCCCCATCACCTATATCTGGCATTTCTCCCCATGCTATCTCTCCCCAACTTCCCACCCCTCGCTGTCCCTCCCCTATTTCCCCCCAACAGACCCCAGTATGTGAGGCTCCCCTCCCTGTGTCCATGTGTTTTCATTATTCAACACCCACCTATGAGTGAGAACATGCAGTGTTTGATTTTCTGTTCTTGTGTCAATTTGCTGAGAATGATGGTTTCTCTTTATGCTATCTCCAGCCATAAACTTTCCCCTGAACTGCAGACTCTCATCCATCTCTCTACTGAATTCTCACATATCTAATGGGTAGCTCAAACCTAACAGGAACAGCCCTGCATCTCTGATCTTAGTAAACGCTGTCACCTTTCACTTAATCAGAATACCCTAAGACCACTCACATCCCATGTCAATAAGTCCTGTCAGCTCCATCTTTATAAATAAATCCTTTGTCTGTCTGCTTCTCATCACTTCTATTACTACCACCTTTAAATCACCATCATCTCTTTTCTGAACTGCTGCAACAGCCCTTCTAATTGGTCTTTGTTTAGCTGTTCTTGTCTCCCTTTGATCTCTTCATCACTGAGCAGATAGAATGACCTTCTTCAAATAAATCACTTTATTTTCCTACTCAAAACTCTCACTGTTCTCCATTAGACCTAAAATTTAAACTAGTTTATAAGGCCCTTTGTGGATGGACCCTCTTCCACCCCTCCATCATTATCTCCTGCCATTTTCACCTCACTTATTCTGCGCTAGCCCCACTCACCTTGCTGTTGTTCCAACTTGCCTTTTTATACTTGCCATTTGCCTCCACCTGGGATACTTTCCTCCAGGATTTTTACATGACTTACTTCTTTGCATTATTCAGGTTTTCAATAGCTGCCATGTCTTCAGAGAAGCTTTCCCTAACCAGTCTTAATGATGGCATACTCTATTCCCTTGTCCTGCTTTATTTTCTTCACAGTACTTATCATTAGCTGATTAATTGTTTACTTGCTCATTTTCTGTCTCTACCTCTAGGATTTATACCCCGTAAGGGCAAAAAGGCTTTGTGTTATTCTGTGCCTTACTGCCTTGTGGTAGGCATTCAGTAAATATTTGTCAAATAAGTTGAAAGAATGAGCACTCCAAAACTGCATTCCATGAGCCCCTTCCTTTTTTGTAGTCCAGTCTTGTTTCCCTCACCCCCCACTTCCCCACAATACCATCTTGAATATTTTAATATTCAAGCCCTTAATTCTTACATTTCCATGTGTGGAAACTTGATACTCTGGGAGGTTGACAGGCAGCAGAAGTATGTTACAATTTCATAAGTAATTTGTTTGATCTACCCCATTTTGCTAAGGCGATTTGTGTGGAACTTCTTCCGCCTGGAGAATGAACATCTGAATAACTGTGGTGAATTCCGTGCTGTGCGGGACATCTCTGTGGCCCCCCTGAATGCAGATGATCAGACTCTCCTAGAACAGATGATGGACCAGGATGATGGGGTACGAAACCGCCAGAAGAACCGGTCATGGAAATACAACCAGAGCATATCCCTGCGCCGGCCTCGCCTCGCTTCTCAGTATGTATGGCTTCTGCTTCTGTGAGGCATGTTTCCTTTGAGTTTTAGCATTGGGTGACTTGTAAGCTAAGAAGCTGTCAGGTTGAACTAAATTAAATTGCTGATACTCAACCACTTTTCATCTACAAAAAACAGTAATAAGCCCCAATTCCATATGATACAACCTATAGACTGTAGACTGTCTAAATGAGCACATAGAGTAAATGTCATTAATGCATACATAGCCTACTAATTTGGCATTAAAGATACACTGTCTAGAGGAAAAGATTGTGGACAGTGATTTGTTAATATTTGACTCTTCTGTATATTTTGCATACAAATAATTTTTATGTTGTAAACTTTAGGAATCCTGCCATCTATGCCTTGACCAAATTACTTAATTTCTGTATTCTGCCACTCAACTGTAAATTGGGCTTAACACGGTTCTTGCTTGTAGGGTGCTTAAGTGGATTATATTCGTTATTACATAGAACTTGGAACAGTTCCCTCAAAACCAGCTTACTAAGTATAACCTGTTATTTTATCTTCTTATTAAATACCTACAGTGATGTTTTTTATCAGTCATTGAGTACGCATGTTGCTAAAAGTTAGAGTAAATGTACAATATATGGTGACTGCATTTGAAATTTAGAGAAAATAGCACAGTAGATTGGAATGAAGGAGACATGTTGAGGATGTGCAGTTTTCTAAAGGATAAGGGAATGAATAGACTGGAGACTGCTAAGACATGAAGATGGAAAAGAAGTGGAGAAAGAAAAACCATGTGACTAGAATTATAGTAAGAATCATTTTGCTGAATAGACAAAGGATGATTGTAAAAAGGCTGAAAAAATGCAAGCTTGATCTTGTAGGCGGGAAAGAGTCACAGAGAATTTTCTCGTAGAGGAATGACATTGTGAAAGTAGTATCCTAGGAAGTTTTTATGGCACTGTGTAAGATATATTAGGCAAGGGAAAACTGAAGGCCAGAAAGCAGATGAAAAACTACGCAGTACTTTATGGGACAGTGAATATTCAGATCAGGATGCTTACAGCTGGACCTAAAGGAATGTAAGATGTTTTGAAGGAAGTAAGAAACAGAAGGTGGAAGCGGTAATTCACTGGATATAGGAGAGTAGAGTAGAACTTGCTGAGCTGTAGACAGAGATTTGGAAGTTCTCTGAAGAAGGTAGAGAAAAGCAGAAAGCAGGGAACTGAATCTTATTCCCTGGCTCAACCACGTTAGCCAGGGAACAAACATAGACCAAGAGAAAAAAAAAATAAACAAAAGAGGCAGGAATGGTCAGGGAAGTCAGTAGGAGGAGCATCAAAACGAAAGCATGATTGGTACTGTGATCCCAAGGAAGCAGTGTTTGAAGGAGCTGGGGCAGGGGAGTGCTGAGTGGATCAGTGAGATAAGTGCCACAAAAGGCTGGAAGAAAATGCTGAATGCAGTTGGTGACCTTACTGAGCTCCCTAATTTTGAAGTCTAATTATCCTTGTTAGTTACCAGCAGAGGGCAATCTAAACATACACTATTTCTGCTTCAGAAACAAGGGGCTCTTTGGCAATAGATTATCATGTTCTTTTAGGTGTTTAGTGGAAGAACACCGGGCAACCAGATTGCAGCGAGAGGAAGGTGTTAGGAATGGAGCCATTGATAAGCAGCGGAGAGAGCAGGAATCTAAAATCCGATCTGAATTTGAGTACTGACTTTATCACTCCTGCAACCTTTAGCATATTCTTAATGTGTGTTTTTATGTTTTTGAAACAATATCTCACTCTATTGCCCAGGCTGGATCAGCACAGCAGCATAATAATGACTCACTGCAGCCTCGAACTCCTGGGTTCAAGCACTCTTCCCACCTCAGCCTCCCAATAGCTAGGACTATAGGCCTACACCACTATCCACAGCTAATTTTTTATTTTTTGTAGAGACAGGATCTTACTATGTTGCCCAGGCTGGTCTCAAACTCCTCGCCTCAAGAAATCTTCCCTCCTTGGTCTTCCAAAGTGCTGGGATTATAGGCATGAGCCACCACACCCAGTGACCCGATTTTATTGTTGCTATTTATAGTAGTAGATTGTTTACGTTGGGCTGAAATATGCTTCACTGTAATTTCACTATAACAACCATTTGAATCCTAGCTGGGCTCTCTCACATAACTTATAATGAGTCTCCTTTCTCTTCTGAGTTATATGTTGTCAACTATTTGAAGAGAAACAACTGTTATGCCACTCCTTATGTTTTCTCTTCTGCTGGCTCTTTTAGTTTCTTATATATGCCTCAAATGGTGTTATATCTGTCATCCTCGTCATCCTTATCACAATTCCTTATGTTTGTTTTGCAGTGTTTTTTTTTTTTTTTTTGGAGACATGGTCTCAGTCTGTCACCTAGGCTGGAGTGCAGTGTTGTGATCATAGCTTACTATAGCCTTGAACTCCTGGGCTAAAGCGATTCTCCTGCGTCACCTTTCTGAGTAGCTGAGGCTACAGATGTGCACTACCATACCTGGCTTTTTTTTTTTCTTTAATAGGGTCTTGCTATGATGCCCAGATTGGTCTCAAACTCCTGGGATAAGGCAATCCTCTCTTTTTTTTTTTGAGATGGAGTTTCGCTCTTGTTACCCAGGCTGGAGTGCAATGGTGCGATCTCGGCTCACCGCAACCTCTGCCTCCTGGGTTCAGGCAATTCTCCTGCCTCAGCCTCCTGAGTACCTGGGATTACAGGCACACACCACCATGCCCAGCTAATTTTTTGTATTATTAGGAGAGACGGGGTTTCACCATGTTGACCAGGATGGTCTCGATCTCTTGACCTCGTGATCCACCCACCTCAGCCTCCCAAAGTGCCAGGATTACAGGCATGAGCCACTGCGCCCGGCCAAGGCAATCCTCTTATGTCAGCCTCCCAAGGAGTTGGAATGACAGAAATCAGCCAGTTTCTTATATTTGTTCAATGCTGTTTTTATCCACATTCTCACTTGATGTGCACATTATCTCCATGAGGTAAAAGTGGCATTAAGTGAAATTGGTATTATCATTTCTGCCTTACAGAGATGGAAATGGGCACTCAGAGGGTTAAACAGATGCATCATAAAATCAGAGTCACTACTTAAACTCAGATCTTCTTATTCCAGATCGCTACCTTCTGTGTTATGCATATCCTGCCATTGTTCTTATACCTTCCTCTGGTTGTCATTTGGTTTCTTAGAAAACACTAAGAAACTAGATGATTGGAAAAATATCCAATAATATCTAAAATTGAATAGGAAACTCTAGAATAATCTGTTTGGTAAAGGAGATAATCCCTGTTTAGGATGTATGTTTAATGGTGGTAAGATTGGAAATGTGTCTAATACTGTGAAAGTGTTTGTATTTGAGTAATGGTCTAAGTGCTTTTTGTCCCCCTTGTTACCACTAGATCCAAGGCTCGTGACACTAAGGTATTGATAGAAGACACAGATGATGAAGCTAACACTTGAATTTTCTGAAGTCTAGATTAATGTTTGGTTTTCCTACTCTACAATCCTTTCCTCGACCAACGCAACCTCTAGTACCTTTCCAGCCGAAAACAGGAGAAAACACATAACACATTTTCCGAGCTCTTCCGGATCGGATCCTATGGACTCCAAACAAGCTCACTGTGTTTCTTTTCTTTTCTTCTGATTTAATTTTAATTTTGTATTTTTAAAACAAATATTTACTTCATTTGCCAATCAGAGGACGTTTTAAGGAACGAAACATAGTATCTTATGGATTGTTTACAATCACAAGGACATAGATACCTATCAGGATGAAGAACAGGCATTGCAAGGACCCTCTGATGGGATGGTACTGAGATATCTCCGCTTCCGCTAGGCCCGGTTTTGACTGGTTGAAACCGGACATTGGTTTTTAAATTTTTTTGTCAGTTTGTGTGGAGAATATTTTTCTTTCCTTCATACCCAGCGCAAAGGCACTGGCTGCACTTGCAGGAAAAGTGCAACTTAAAGCAGTACCTTCATTCATGAAGCTACTTTTTAATTTGATGTAACTTTTCTTATTTTGGGGAGGGTTGCTGGGTGGGTGGGAAATATGATGTATTTGTTACACATAGTTTTCTCATTATTTATGAAGTTTAACCATAAGAGAATGATATAACTCCTGTGCAATGAAGGTAATAACAGTAAAAGAAGGCAGGGGAAACTTAACGTTGGATGACATTTGTGAGGGTCAGTCCCACATACCTCTTTCAGGAGACAACTTGCACCAGTTTGACCTTTTCTTTCCTTTATTTTTATTTTAAGCCAAAGTTTCATTGCTAACTTCTTAAGTTGCTGCTGCTTTAGAGTCCTGAGCATATCTCTCATAGCAAGGAATCCCCACACTTCCACTCCACTGACTGAATTTCATAGGTGAAGTTCTGATAATTTTTTTGACTTTTTAAGGAACAGATGTGGAATATACTTGCCCATATTTCAACCTTAACAGCTAAAGCTATGCCGTATTATGCATCAGCATCTATGGTCACTGTAGTGTGACCTTTCCTGGCTCTGAATTAGAAGACAGAGCTATTTCAGAGGCTCTCTGTGCCCTCACTAGATAGTTTTTCTTCTGGATTCAGCCACTTTAGCCAGAATTTGATCAAATTAAAAGTCTGTCATGGGGAAACCATATTTTTGAGTGCATGGAACAAATTATCTTTCCTCGTTCACGTTATGTTGATACAAAAGACCTTGGCAGCCATTTCTCCCAGCAGTTTTAAAGGATGAACATTGGATTTGATGCCATCCCATGATAGAAAATCTGCTTTAAAATTTTAGGGATCTAAAGTTGGTCGTACATAAAAAGTATACACTTAGAAATTATAGACTGTTATGATCTGTCCACAGTGCCCGTTGTCACTTCTTTGTCTCATTTCTTCCCTTTGTTCCTTAGTCATCCAAATAAGCCTGAAAACCATAAGAGATACCACTTTATTGAATATGGTTGGCATTAAATTTAGCATTTCATTATCTAAGGGAATTAATATAAATACTAGGACATGGTAAAATGTGTTTTAATAACCCCCAGACCCAGATGAAAATTCCAAAGTCAATACCAGCAGATTCATGAAAGTAAATTTAATTCTGTAATTTTCAGCTTAATTATTAAAAAAGGAAGAATACGTGGAAGGCCAGCTATTACCATTTTCTTAGTCTTAAAACCATATGGTTACTGCCCTTTAATACACTCATATCATCAGCACTTCTCCAGTAAGATTAAAGTTACTGTTACTAGAAAATTTTTATCAATTAACTGACCGATAGTTTCTTCTTAAAGCAGTTTCTTCCATCTTTATTCTGACTAGCTTCCAAAATTTGTTCCCCTTTTGAATTGAATTTTTGTTTTGTTTTGTTTTCCGAAAAATCATACAACTTTGTGCTTCTATTGCTTTTTTGTGTTTTGTCAAGCATGTCCCTTGACCCAAAGTGGAAGAGAAAATGTTTAATAGTTTAAATAAATTGAATCATATATAATAATCAGTGTTAACAATTTAGTGACCCTTGATAGATTAAAGGTTGCATTATTTATACTTGGGATTTTCCCCTATTTATTCTGTTTTTTGTACTTTAAAACTATGGGGGAAATATCACTGCTCTATCAAGAAACAGCAGTAATTATTACTGAGTTAAATTGAAAAGTCCCGTGGACCAGGTATTTCTTGTACAAATAAAATTGGTGGTACTAATGTGTATCCAGAGCCAATTGAATTGTTAACTTTATTAGTAAATCTCTGATGGCACGCATAAAATCTTACAGTTGACTTCTGCTATTTGAATTCCCCAGTGTTTTTATGTTAATGTATCCTATGGCCAGTTTAGTTTTTCTTCAACTGTTATTGTAGGTCCTAATCAGTCTTATTTATTCACATATGATGCAACGACAAAATGTAATCCTTTTCTGAAGTGTTTGTCAGATTGGCATAGTCTATTCAAAAATAAGGCTTGTGTAACTTTCAGCTGGCCATGACAGAGGCTTAAGTGTGTATTTAAATACACAGCTGTATATTCCTCTTAAAGCTATAAAGAGAAAAGAGGGCTCTTCCTCATTGAGAGAGCTTGGGAGACAAAGCATACATTTCATTTGTTTCTTTCCAAAAAGGCAATCTTTATTTTCTTCTCCTAAATTTCATATGCTGTGTCCACCCTACGTTCTTTTTGGAGGCGCCCATACACTGAAACTCTGAATAGAACTCTTAAAAATGCATATCACAGACTCTTTTAAAGGAGCAGCAGCCTAACCAAAGTTAGAACTTCATCTGATTTTAGGTTTAGCAATTCTAGTTTTATTTTGGAGAATCACTCAGTTTTTAATAACAGTTAAAATACTCCTCAAAGGAATGAAAATGAAATCTAAGTAAAGAGTAAAACTTGTTTTTCATTTTATGATAGTATAGAAAGCACTGATGTTTATAGAGAAAAGATAAAAGTGGTTTACTGTCTATGCACAAATGAGTGCCTATATTTAAGGCTGTCTATACCATTACAGTGGCATAATTGGTGATTTCTTAGCATACAGAGAAACAATGAAATCAAAGATTAATTCACTATTAATTAGGTTGTGATGGTCATTTGTAAGATCGGAAAGTAGTCAAAAACCCACCTGCAACTTTTTTTCAGCACTCCACCTTTAGGTTCCTTAGACAAGCTGCTTAACTTCAGTCAGAAGCAATGATGTGGGAGAATGCCATTCACTTCAGTAGTAACTTACAAAACCATTTCAAGAAGGAAAATGGGCCCCAGCCCCTAGGATCCCTGACTTCCTGATATTCTAAACATGAGAATTCTGCGACTTTAACTGAGCTTTTACCAGAAGTAACTTGTGGATATATAGTGTCTTTCCACCATGCTTTGACCCATTAGACCAACAGTAACTAGATAAAGCAGTTCATCCATTTCTGGGTAGGTGAATGAACTAGGTCAATGGAAGAAGAGGAAAAAAATAAAGTAGTACTGAATCATACAGGTATCAGATTAGCAGACATTCGTTAAAGAGAAGTAAAATAATTTTGGAGATAGCAGAGAAGAGCAAGAAGATGTTGGATGTTGGCAGTAAGCTGCAGCAAGACAGGAAAGTAGGTGAGCCTGATAACGCAAAGGTGATGCCTCCATCTCTCCACTCAGTGGTTATTAAATTGCTGAGAAAGACCTGCCTTTATTTTCCTATCTTTTTTCCCCATTACTTTGCATTATTCAGGAAATAGTTCTTTATTCTCAAACACAATTTTCTAAACAGAGACTACAAAAATTTCTTATTCTAAGGAAAATAATTAAGAAAATAACCCTATCTGTGGCATTATTTTAAAATGTCAGATTCTCTGAAAGATCGTATATACCTGGTAAGCAGATTTCAGGTTATTATTGTTTCCTTTTAATGATTTACATGAAACTTTCCTCTTAACAAGTACTTCTTACGGTATAACATTTGAGTTTTTAAAATTGAGATAGCTTTGAAAGTAAAAATCATGTTAAATTTGTAGCTCTCTCAACTACAAAATCACCATAGTTTTCTCAAATCTAATAGGAATTCAATGTAATTGCAGGTAAGATCTATAATGACCAGGTGAAGACAATTAAAGCTTTGGTAGAACTGTTGCAAAAGTTCGAAGAATAAATCCAATTTATCAGCTTAGTTCATTTTCTTTTTCTGAGTGATCTAAATTTTTCTTGCTTGTGATAATTAGCTAAGGCAAGGAAAGTTAAAGATTTTCTAAATTACAAACATACATTTCTGCATTTCAGAAATCAGTCTCGATAGTAAATCTCACAAGCTCCCAACTTTCTGCATTGTATTTTAAGTCTATACAGTGTTAGAGCATGTTAGGTAATGTGGGATAGAGTTGATTCTGTGATAGCATGATAAATTTGCACTGTTGGTGTTCCAAACCAATAATTTAACCAGCATTAACCATACTTGACTCACCAAATATGAAAAAGTAAAAATATCTCATTAGTTTTGGAAAAGCTTAAATTAGCCCATGCAGGAAGTTTGCCTAAGAACAGAGAGGAGCCTGTTGATTGGCATGGCTCATGATGCCTTTCTTGTATGAATTATCAGAACTGTGATATTAAGTTGCCCCTAGAAAATAGCCTTCCGGAATATATTTGCTTATTTATGATGGAAGAGGAAGTAAGAAGAACAAGATGAGAGTTTCCCTTAAAGTGAAGAAAATCATACTAATTTGCAACTGAAGTAAGTTTCCTTGTTGCAAACCTTTGGTTTATTTTATCAAATCAAAGCCACCTTCAGTTGTTTGTATGGTGCCATCAACCTAAAGAGGACAATCAACCTATTGTTTGCCTTGGACTCACTATATCTGCTAAGTACACAGTCTCATCCTGTATACCTTCAAACCGGTTACTTGACTAAACTTCCACCATAATACCTTAGTTCTTCCTATGCCCTTTCCTCTGTGCCACCACAAGTCAGAGGGAAAGACTGCAATAGTTCTATAAAGATGTGGACTTCTAAGAAAGAGCCAGGCTTCCATCTCACTATCCCTTGTTCATTATCTCTGAAGTCCCTACCTGCACTTCCCTGATTGCCCTGTAGCAACACCAGCATGGTGGGAATCGGGAAAGATTGTGGAAAATTCCTAAAGGTTAATTGTTCATGACGTTGTTATTTTGAATTGTAAAATAAAATTGTGAGCCACTCACATTTCAGTTGCAAAAAGAACAGAACTCTTAAACTTTATCATGTTGTGAAGATTAATTTCTTGCCATTTTTTGGATTAGCACAGAAGCTTGTATCAGTGAAGAGTATTTAGGAGGGGAATAGGGTGAAAATCGTATTTTTCTGTTCAAACCCTCTCCTTCTATTTGTGTTTCCTTCACCCGTCTCCCTCCACCACACTGTGTTGGTCAAACGATACTATTCTATGAAACCCTGAGCTATAGCTGTCAAAAGTAACTATGGATTGTGATTAGTCCTCTGTGGGTGCTTCTTTCCCTCTTTTTTCTCCCTTTCTCTCTTTTTCAGTCTCCACTCTGGTAAATGGAAAAGGTGACGTCGAAGAATCGATGCTTGCTTGGACTCATGTTGTATCTGTGACTATGCTATTAGCTGTCTCCTTTTCCCTTCCTATATGGGTAGAATTCTTATGACTTACGAAGTTCCCTTCTTGATAAGTAGGTTAAATGCACAATGTGGTACTGTTTTATAGTTTCTAGATGGTTGTATAAAGCAAAAAGTTAATGTGGTTATGTGTTTTTAAAAGAAAATAAGTGATTGGTTACTAAACTCTGTCCTTTTTTCATTATTACAAGTTCTCTCTGTTTTGCAACAGTTTGCTGACTCCTTTGTTACTGGTGAATGGTTTGTGTGACTGTGTTTTTCTCTCTGGGTTTCTTGAATTCCTGAACATAGTTCCCCTTAGGACTAACTTTTATATGGGGTTAAGGCAAACAGACTTCAGTGGTGAAATTTTTAAACTATCCTACTAAGTTAAAAAAAAAATCTTAAATGGCCTTTTTTCTTCAGGTAATATATGAAGTGTGACTCTAAAGCAGTGAGATTGATGCAACAAATCTTTCTTTTACTCACACAAGGAATCTCAAATATTACAAATAGAGGTGAAATGATATGTCCAATTACATTATGAAATGATATGTTGGAGAGCTGGACACTGCCGTCACTGCATACCTGTACCCTGTGAGGGAACATAGCACTTTGCAGAATTCCTGGACTAATTATTATTATTATTTATATATGTCTAGGAAAAATTATAAAATTAACTGACCCTAAGATGAATATACCCACAATGCAAAGAGAAAAATAATGTATTCACTAAGGTGTCAAAGCCTTTCCATCTTATTTTAGAGCCACAAACTCTTACTATATTTCTGTGTAGGCTAAAGCAGAATATGATAATATGGAGTTTCCAGGCCAAAGTCAAGATAGGATATGAGTATAAAAGAATTACTAAATATTCACCATTTTTACAAATTGATAACATATTCAACATTTGTATGCCTATATTATTTTGTATTTTTCCAACTATGTAGCATCTCAGAAATATGTAGATGAATGAATTATGTTGAGGAAGAGACAAAGACCTATCTAGAGCAGCAGAGTGCACAATCCCAGATGGTTCTAGGAGGTCACTCTCTCTTTATCCATCCTAGACATATCCAGAAGAATCCTTCAAGTTTTAGATACCTGTATCTTCATATGGATAATTTTTATTAGCTACTTTTTAAGGTTATGAGAATAAGGACCAATTTTATACTTTGTTTTTTAAGAGATGGGGTCTTTTTCTATGTTGCCCAGACTGTCCTCGAACTCCTGGGCACAAGTCATCCCAAATAGCTGGGAGTACAGGCATGCACCATTGTGCCTGGCTTACACTTTCTGATTCACATCTTTTTCTAGTGTCCCACCATTTCCCTTAGAAGAATTGTGGAGTTCTTGTATGCTTAAAAATTAGTATGTGTTTATTGAGTATGTGCTAATCCTATCATATGCTAGGCATTACTTTAATACTTCGTTTTAGTTGAAGTTGACTTTATTATCCTTAGTTTTATGGAGACAAGAAGGGAAAGGCGATGCAATTATTTTTAAACTACATACTTATCTGAAACCACTGCCAGAAAAGCCAGACTGTCCTCTTACTAGGTGTCACTGCCTCAGGGTAAGCTGAATTTGCTATCTCAAGTTTGAGATGACTCTTTACCCCTTCCCAGGCAGATACTAAAACCTCCAATTCTGTTTTTTTTTCTTTAAAAGAATTAAAAGTATCAGATCTGTCAAGAGTTGTTTCTTCAGAATCTTCTATTGCCAAAAACCGTCCTCATAATTCATCTTATTCACTCACTTTGTCACTAACACATAGCACCAAAGTTCAACCAATGTTTACCTTTATAAAATGAAATTTTCCCCTTAATTTAAATAAATGTTATATTAACTGCATAGCTGAATGGGAATGATAGTAATATCATTCTACCTAGGGCACACCTATGGCTTCCATTCTACCTACGTGAATAATCAAAGTCAGTGTATGATTTTTGGCAATAGATGTACTATGCTACTCTGCTTCCTTATGGTCAGTTTCTAGGGTAAGGAGAAAACCAAGTAACCCAAGAGAACAGGCAGGTAACAGAAGAGAGCCAAGGAGAAGCATATTAGTAACATTAATTCCCAAACCCTCTGCCATTTTACTAAATTTCAAATTATCATGCATTATAAATTTCACAATGTTTTATGTTGTGTGGTTGAAGTAAACAAATGTGCTTATTTGTGGTTACTCAAAGCCTGTCTTCTGACTAGATGGACCAGTAAAATTATTTAAATTTAGTTAATCAGGGCTTTTATATCCATCCCTTCGGCAAAGAAATATACAAGATAATTTAGAAACATGAGTTCTCCAAGTATTATTTATCAGTTGTATTTAAACTTTTTTTTTTTTTTTTTGAGACGGAGTTTTGCTCTTGTTACCCACGCTGGAGAGCAATGGCGTGATCTCGGCTCACTGCAACCTCCGCCTCCTGGGTTCAGGCAATTCTCCTGCCTCAGCCTCCCGAGTAGCTGGGATTACAGGCATGCGCCACCGTGCCCAGCTAATTTTTGTATTTTTAGTAGAGATGGGGTTTCACCATGTTGACCAGGATGGTCTCGATCTCTCGACCTCGTGATCCACCCGTCTCGGCCTCCCAAAGTGCTGGGATTACAGGCATGAGCCACCTCGCCCGGCCTGTATTTAAACTATTTTTCTGCACTTTCATAGATACTTAGGAAATTTTAGCCCCTCCCTAGGCAGCCACGGTCAAAAGACTTGCTGGGCTGGATGTGCGGCTGCTGTCAGCTGTGAAGACATAGCCTGGTTTCCTTCTGTGGCAATGCCCTAGTCTTACCCAGCCTGCAACCCTAATAGAAACACCATTCAGAGGAGAGGAGACATTCTTCCTCCAAAGGTACTCTACTGCCAGCAGGAGGTCACCCCTAATCATATTTATTAAAATGTTTTAAATGCCTACTAAATAGTTGGGGCCTAAGGAATATTTGTTAAAGTGAAAGGGGACTTCAGGAGTCTATTAGTAGATGAGCTGCTGAGTTCAAAGTTCAAAGGTATTTGGCTTTTTTTGATCAACTGCTGCCGGGGCTATGCCTTTTACTGGTGCTTGATCACTGGCGGACTTGGCAGGCTCCTCACTGATCCTTGTGTAAAGTCAGGTTGTGTGGAAACCTGATTCCAAGGCTGCCCTCACCAATACTACAATAGCAGGTGCTTCTGCATTCTGTGGACTCTGTTTTCTCCCAGGAGCAGAGTAATCATAGCTGACCCTTCCTGGCTGCTGCAGGGGTGCACATCTCACATTAGTGCATGTCATATGGTGCCAGTTCCATGTGTAATGGACAAAAGTGACTGGCTCTGGACACCCAACAATTACTGAACCTGGATGAGGACCCAAATCTAACTAGCGCTGTAGCCCACATTTTCTCTCCCAAGCAGACAAAACTAGGAAGTGCCTTGTGAATGACTGCTGCTTTCTAAAATTATGCCTGCTCAAGTCTGAATATAACCATTTTAAAGAAAATCAAAGAATGTCCCCCTCCCTCCCTCCCTCCCACAAATGCATATATATAACCATAGGTTTCTCTAAAACTCTGGGTCCCACTGACTGGCTTTTTGGGAGTTTGTCCTCTGCCCCTTTATGAAGACAAATCTTAACATTAAAAAAAAAAATTAAACAGTAACAACAATCAGCTCCCTATTGACTGCTTTTCACAGGAGTCCTCTCCCTTGAAGCGGCCACCCTGTCTCCCTAAGCGCTTATCTTCCCTCCCCTCCCCTTCCTTTCACTTGTTAAAACTTTCACCAGTGATGAGGATGGTGTACTGAAGTAAGGCAAGCACTTGTAGTGTTTCGGGCATTTGAGGTGTAGGGAGGAGACAGTAACTATGGGGTAGTGAGGGTGGATGGCTATTGCTAAGTGCCACTGATGCCTGAAGGATAATGAACATCAGAGAGCAAGTACCAGGCAACTAGCAGCCAGATGTGGAAGCCCGAGGGCCACTAGTTGCATACGGAGAATCTCTCATCTGCAGTGGAAGGGAAGAGAAAGTGAGGACTAAGCTCAGGACTTAATAGACTGGCAGAATTTCAGACAGTTAAACACCCAACTAAGGCAGGTCTGATAGGTAAGGACAAGGACCCGAATGGGAAAATCTAACACATGAGATGGCAATATCTGTTTGGATTCCCTGCCCCACCCCAATGATTTTTAGTTTCTGAACCCCTCAGAACATTCTGAGCCTATTCATATGTCTCCCCCAATTTGTGCTAGCATTCTCCATTCCCAATCCATGATGGAAGACATGACACAGGCCCTTCTGGTGCAAGACAATGAGTGCACCTTTCAGAGTCCTCCATGACTCAGCTGGGGACATGCTAGGCTTCTAAGGGAGAATAGGGACTAACTGAACTGTAGGATGTAGTCAGCATGGACTCACAGGAGCTGGAGGAGATTCCAAGAGTGCTGTAAGAAGAGGACCAGAACATAAGGTAGAAGACAGGACAATTTTTGACTTGAAAGGGTTTTTCTGAGACCCTAGGGAGTACAGAATTTAACTCCCTAGCGTAAGTACCCAGGAGTTGGTGCAAACTTGCTGCCTGCACAGCTCCTAGAAAGCTGGAAAAAGCAATGGCCCATGTTGAGCAAAGTTAAAATTCCAGAATTTCCATGGGAGGCAATGGAAGAAGGAAAGGGAAGGAAGGAGGGAGACCATATTGTGGGAAGACAGAGGAATAGAGACTATTGCCACATCCCGTGTCTCCTCTCCACTCTTGTTTAATTGACCACTCGGGCCCCTGAAGAAACTGGATGGGTTAAGGAGGGTCATTGTAGACCACCGCAAGCTCAATCAAGTATAATCCCAATTGCATGCTGCTGGATGTGTCTTCTTTAGACCCGATCAGTACTGCCTTAAGTACATGGTATACAGCTGTTGATTGAGTGCAGGCATTCTTTTCGCTTCCAATCAAACAGAATCAGAAACAGTTCACATTTTCATGGAAATGACAATGCACATTAACAGTTTTGCTCCAAGGCCCTGCTAAGTCCAAAGAAGTCTGGGCCAGCTGGACATCCACAGAATATCACATTGATCCATTACAACAATGCCACCATGTTGATTGGGCTGGATGAGCAAGAGCTGGCTAGCACACTGCAGAACTTGGTAAGGTCTGTGTACCCCTGATGGTTAGAGATAACCCTGGGAAGATTCAGGAGCCTGCCACATCTATAATATTTTCAGGAATTCAGTAATCAAGTCCAGTAACAGTAGAC